ACAGGAGACTATCCTTCCTGAAGGAGACATTTTCAAATGAAAATCCATCTGTCCAAATTGGTCGTACTCTGTCATTGGCATCAAGGTATCCACGCTGCCTCTTTCATTCCCACTGTTTCATGGTCGAAAATTGATGAATGAATACATTAATATGAGTTTGTGTACACGGTAACATTTAGAGGAAATGTCAGCTGGTCATCTATCATTACAGTTCCCCGACTATTAAACTTCTTTATGTTAAATTGTAATTTGGCCTTGTTTCCAACTTTGTTATTAAGGCCTTGTAGTTTCTGTCTTTGACGATTGGTTGTGTGACTATAATGGAATGTTGGGGACCAACTTGCTAATTTTAAAGTTTAGAGACCGACTTGGTTTGGGGGAACTAGTTTGGCATCCCATCGTGCAATTTTCCTAACATTTACTCAGTGATGGAATGAACAGATATTTTTTGAGTAATGCTACTTCTACGTAATCTTTTACAAGTTGATGTACATATTGATGACAAGGCATTAAATTAAAATTGAACTGATTTTGTTCCTTTCTCCCCCCCTCTCGCTGTTCCAAACAGTTTCTTCTCTATACATCATGTAAATGATTATGTACAAGTATCATTACTCATAGTTTTTTATGATTAACACCCCTTCTCTTGGAATAACAGCAAGAAAGCTCTTTACCGGGAGAGGGAGATGCTGAGCAGGCTTGTATATAAAAGGTACACAGGTAATGAAAGAAACAGAATTTTCCAGGAATGGGGAATCAGTTTGAACTCAAAACGGAGGAGGTTGCAGCTCATCCACCAATTGTGGAGTGACATTAAAGATATGGGTCACATTACAAAGAGCGCTTCCATTGTGGCAAAGCTAATTGGGTTCTCGGAACAAGGCCAAGCCCTCAAGGAGATGTTTGGTCTTAGCTTCACTCCTACCCTCTCAAGTCGAAGTTTGTTTAGCTGGAAGAATAGTATGGCATCCCTTATGTGAGCTTGTTAACTTTAGGGTATGTTTGGTATAAAGGACACAGCATGAACCCTTTTTTTTTCCTGGAGACTATCTAATATCCAGTGCCGTTCAATCCTCTCCACTAGACTTGCCTTAAAGGTTGAATTAGATATAGATAATTAACTACATTTTTGACTATTGATTTGATGATGTTTAGTGAATGAACTGTAATAGACTTGAAAGAGTTTTTTAATATTCTGCTCAGATTAGAAATCAATGATGGCCTCAATTCATCCCTCTGCTTTTGGGTTACTTGACATTAATGCAATGAGAAGTGCATGGTGTACACCAAGTTACACATCCCCCTCACAACATAGGTGGGGGCCACGATAATAAAATAATCGTGGCCCCCACACTTGTGAGGGGGCTGTGTACAAGAGTGTACACCACCAAGCACTTCTCTAATGCAATACGTTGCATCAACTGACAAGTTCTCGCCTTGCTGTTAGCTTGTTAAAAGAAGGATGTATGCACAATCAATTTTTCTTTCAATCATGGTTCTTTTGGAAAATAATCCAGGAGTAAGTTTCATTTCACTTCCTGGGAACTAAACAAGTGCTCAGGTCTTCACATGTCAATGCCAAAGATTCAAGATGATATCTTCCCAATGATAAATTGATTATCAGTAGAGGTCATGGTAAACGTAAAATAGAGATGAGAGGTTAATACAGATCTGTGAGCAGAGTGAAAACAAGACTACAAATGAAGGTCCTCCAAACTGCTGGCCAGTGGGAAACCAAAATGAAAAACTAGTCATGCCTCCGCAGTTGAGTCCTTTTTTAATCCTTCTCCTCTATCGTAATAATAAAATTTTCAATCTCATCTCTCATTAATCAGAAAGGTAGTTCTAATATGACAGCCATAACCAGCATAAAGACACCAATGCAACAACGAATGCATTCATAACTACTCCAGGTGCTTATGTAGTAAACAACAAACTAATCTTTGATCCACATAAATTTGAGGTTGGCGCTGTAAATTCTTTTTGCCATTCTATTCTATTCATTGCTCGGATCTACTCGAAGATCCAAAGAACCTAAATGCTTAGCAACCACGACTGGCCATGTTAGTTTTGGTATATCTCTCCTCTTCTAACATGTTCTACCAAGATTGTGCTTATCTTGCAAACATGAACATAAAAATAATGTTAAGCAGGTACATAGAGGTTTCAAAATTTCTGCATTTCCAGTTTTTTCACCTTTCATCCACTGCTGCCTTGAGATTTTGATTGCTAAAACTTCTCCTACTCCAAAATACTGAGATGAATTCCTAGGCATCACCAACCAATATAATCAATGCCAGATCTTCCACTTATGAATTCAGCAGTCTACCTGAGATATCGCAAAGAAAATAAAGGGGCGTACCAATATCTACTCTAGCCCACCTCCTGGGGGGTTAGGGGAAACGCTCCAATAATGAGCTTTTGAGCGGAAAACACATCCCCATCAAGGAGAACAAAGAGGGTAGGGGGTGCAGGTTCGATTTGATGCTCACAAAAGATGGATATTCTGCCAAATAGGAACCCTCTCGCTAATCAAGCAACAGTAATCAATAATTTAACCATGTGAATTCTAATTACCTATGTACACCAGGATGGTTGAAATATCCATATCAAATACTACTTCGATCTTCTTCCTACTGACTCGGTATTAGTAGACATCAAGAGGAACAATATAGAATTGTTACAACTACAAGAAAATAGTTTCAGCAATTCATCAAGTTCTTAAATAGGAACCCAATTTTTATTTTTGATTACGTAAGATCAAAAACACACATTGAAATTATGAAGAAATTTTTTCTTTTTATATATTTTTCTATGAAATTCCTTCTACAATAGTGTGTGTCTTCAAGCACGTGAATCTATGATAAGTTATGCATTCCTCAAAGGATACACTACACAAAACAAAATTATCCTAAAATCAATAGTACCGTATGAGAACTGAAATTTTTGCTTGCAAACTATTGCTGACAATTTGTCTTGATAAACCTCAGGAATGTAGGAGCCACTGAATACTAGCAATTATTCTGGTCTTGCAAAAGAAAAAGTTTACTGGAAAGTAGTAAAAAGGAGGGGGAGGGGTATGATGGTTCTTAAATTCATAAAATGTACATAAAATTCTCTTCTCATCACAAAATACGACGCAGAACCAGAGGGATTTTTATCTGAAAACTACAGACATGAGCAAAAGTCTAACAGAGTAACTGATGGTTTTGTAGAATTTCAAATGAGCTTAAAAGGAAGAGGCCAGGGGGTGGACCTGGGGACCTCAATTTTATCCTTGATGCGTTCGATTTTCTTCTCCTTCTTAGGCCTTGAATTTCCGTACGACCCCTTGAATATCTTCCCCCTTCTGGTCTTCTTATCGCCTCGCCCGCACAGGATCGGAGCACCTGGAGATGTGGATGAGGAGAGGGAGGAAAATGCCAACCGCTGCTCGGTGGCCGCCATTAACCGCCGCGCTGCCACACCGCACCACTTCATCGTTGCCATTTTCTACTATGGATGAATTGATTACTCCTCCAAACTTCAACCCTAGAATCCAGAATAAGTATTAAGGCGAGCTCGGTAGAGCGTTATTTGCTAGTAAGGGCTTTCAGGAGGGGAGGGCCTCTATTTCCATGCTATTACTTTTTTTACCCTTAAAGTTGGGCTTTATTACTTTGTACCCCTTAAATCCATGAAAAATTAAGTCAAAAGTGATTTTAAACAAACTCTGATTTTCTAAATAACTATACAATCGGGACGGATGGACGATCCTACCTCGCTCCCGTTCGGGTGGAACACCATGGGATTGGGATTTTTGGTTCAAATTGCCATTTTTAGTATGATTACGAGTCTTCAATCTATAAAAGTGATACTTTATATTCTCAACATATTTAAATTTAGGAAGTATGCACCTGCAATAGACATCACAGTAGCCTCAAGCCTTACAGCCTAAACAAAATTTAAGTTTAATAAGACATTTTTCTTATTTCTATATTCTTTTATTATTTATAAGATTTTAATAATGATTCAATTTATTTAATTTAGGTTAAAAAAATGAAAGAAAATAAAAATAAAAACGTACCCTTCGAAGCTAAGCTCACACAGTCATCTTTTCATGCCTAGGGAGCCTTCTGATGCTTAAGCCCACATTATAAGAATATCAAAATAAGATTGATCGTCGTTTTCACACCTTTTTCATAAACAATTGCGCTACATGTACACGATGATGACTTACATAATGATTCACCAACAAATGATATGACGAAATTTAACCCCTATTTGGCCTCCATTATTCCACGTATAATAATAAGAATAATAATTTTTTGGAAAAATACATGATTAAAAAATAAGGGAATTTTTTTAGGTTTACATGTAATATCATTTTATTGAAAAATATATTTGATAAAAAGAGATAGAAAATGAATTTTAATTTAATACGAGCCAAAAAAAGAGTTTAATTGGACCAAAATCTCATTTATCAAATAATTTCCTCATTTGCATTATGACACTTAAAAGCGTGTTCGGTAGAGATTAAAATCGAATTAAAATTGAAAAACTAGCCATTATTATTGACTCTTATTAGACGAGTGAGATCCAATAACGACTATGTTCTCAATTTTAATTGGATTTTAATCTTTACCAAACAAACAGTTAATCAATATGTAAAATATTATGTAAATAGTTATGTACAAACATTACATATTCCCAGTCTTTTACAACAGTGCTAGCGAGAAGTAGAGAAATTAATCTGCACCGACCAATAAAAATGCCTACTTTGGTCAAAAGGACAAGCAAAATGAGCTAAAGATGCAACACCATCCATTCTGGCAAGCATGCGAGTAGAAGACTGGGCACTTTAGAGTTAAGCATATAATTTCTTCATATTTGGAACAAGAACCAACTGTTGACACCTTTTAATCACACAGTGTCCCACTTAAATGCAATTCCTGTAGTTCCGACCCATAGATTAATATATGCATAATATAAAAGGCTTCCATAATTCCATTAATACACCATCAACCCTTCAATGAGTATTTCTTTCCGGAGAATGGCTGAAACTTCGGCTCTTCTTTCTTCGAAGGCTCCGGCTTCGTCTCTTTTGGAGTGTCCTACAACAGATAAAGAATAGGTTTGAGATAAAGAGGCAACAACGGCTGTTACAGGCACGGCCCAGCCCTAGGGAGGGGCATGAGCTGGCTAGCCGGTTCACACCACTATATTGATATTGGAAAGTACGACTTGAGAGAGAGAGAGAGAGAGAGGGAGGAACCTTCTGAGCTTCTCGAGTCGGATTTGTATTTGAGCCAAATACAAGCTTTCCCTGAGATTGACGGTTAATGCTTTGCGAACTGGAACTGGAAGTGGAAGATTGCCCGACTCCATTGGAAGCATCTGATGTCCTGTCTTTCGATCCTGATGATGAAATTGGCGGGGGCGAGTTCTTCAGAGGTTTTCCATCCAAGCGTCTGGAAACACCAGTAAAGGCATTGAATTTTGGTTCTTCGGCAGGAGGCTCCTGACCTGCACAAACACCCAAAATTGGGAAATAAATTTTAAGTTTGATAGTCAGCAAGTGGCCTTTACATGCTTTGACTCCAAATTTAAATTGCACCCAGCAACAGCTTAATCCATTACCCGGATTTACGGAATGAGAAAATCTATGGTGCATAGGAAACAATCTATGGTAACATTGAAAATGACAGAGATATAATAAAGAAAAATGTATTAGAAATAAAATGCAAAGTGATAAATAAGAAATGCAGCACCTTCTGGCGGTGCTTTGCCTGTTGGAATTGACGCGACATGTTTTTCAGGCTCCTTGTAATCAAGAGGAGGAGCAAAGTCCACTTCACAATCAGTTTCTATAATACTTATTGCATTTGAAGGCTTCGACTCTATGATGTCTATGTAGTACTTTTTATTATTGTAAGCCACCATAATACTATCCCCCGTGGTCAAGCAAGAAAAGTTCCTCAATGTAGTCTCCAAGCTGCATTATAAATTCAAACTATTAAAAAATCGAGCTTGGATATGTATTTTGCCCACAATGATAAAGAAAGCACTCGTTCAATTCTTAATTCATCCATGATACTTTTGCATATATCTGTTAAGACAGTAAATTTAGTGAAACAGAAAATGGCAGGAGGCTCCATAGGTAAATCAACATGATTCACTTCTGCATACAAACAACAATAAGGTAGGTATGTTTGCATCCACTGTCCTAATTAGTTTCTGTAGGACCTTCCATCTTATAAGCAAAAACCTAGACTAAGTTAAGAAACGCAAGATAAAATATTCATTCATAATACAGCATGGTAACTCCCGAGTAATTTACTCAGGGTTTCGAGTGAAATGCAAGTTGTTGGGAAAAAAATATCTATTTCAAATTAACAAAGGGTTTGTACAAGCCCCATTTTTGTGAGAAATGAGTTTGTAACGGTGATTTTTTGGAGAATGTGCGCGTTAAAAAGTAGTGAAAAATTTTGGGTTTATGTGTAAAATTATTTTATTGGGAGTATGTGTAGTTGAAAATAGGGCTGCGCAAAATGTCCGAACAGAACAGAACGTGATTTCCTAATTAAAAACTCGAACGGGTATCTGACTCGAGAACNTAATATTCTAAATTAATCAAGGAAGTTTTTACCTCCAAAATCCGACTTGGTATCAGAGCTCACGGTAACCTAGGTGAGTCGCGACTCTTCCCGACGACGGCGACGGCGCTCCTGCGTCTGTGCGAACCCTAGGCGACGGTTCATTCCCCGCCCTTTTCCCGTTTTTTTTCCGGTTACCTACACTCTCCGGCGCCTGCACCTTCGCGACGGACTTCGCGATTCGCAACTGCACCTTCCCTGTTCCGGCGACTGCTGCTGGTTCGTTCCCCGTCCTTTTCCCGTTTTCTCCGGCGCCTGCACCTTCGCGATTCGCGACTGCACCTTCCCTGTTCCGGCGCCTCTGCTTCTGGTTAGTAACTTGAGTTCTGAAGTGGGCTGCATCTTCATCTTCACGGTTCTTTCTTCTTCACGGTTCTTTCTTCTCTGGCTTGACGTGATTTAAGTGACTAGTGTTTGTAGTGTTTGGGTTTCTCGAGGAGTTGAGGAGCAGAATGTGAAGGCTAAGGAGAGGAGCAATGACCTTATGCATTTTTTCAGTGTTAGTCTTGACTGACTGTATTAGAGAGCTCTCTTAAAGAATCAGTTTGTTGATTTTCTTACTATCAGCTTTAGTTTTGTGTATGGTGATATGATGGTTGGGGCTATCTGATAATTGTTTTTTTGTGGAGGCCTTGAATTTCTTGTTGAGGCAGGGTTATAGTTTCTGATTGATCTTGTGCCTGTGTTCATTGGGTTAGGATTTTATCAGTCACGTGTGCCAGTGTTCATTGGTTGAAGATTGAATTTGAATTGTTTGCATTTGGTGGTTCCGAGCTCTGCAATTTATAGATTGCTTGAAAGAATGGCTTCCCACGTTGCATGTTCATTTCCTGGGGAAGGTACCTTTGGGCTGCATTCTGCTTCCACTGCATCGGATTGTTGGGTTATAGATTCTGGAGCTACCGATCATTTTACCTGCAATTCCTCCACATTTGATTCCTTAACAACTCCACCTGTTCAGTCTGTTCAAGTGGCTAATGGGACCCCTGTTAAAGTTACCGGGGCCGGAAGCGTCTCATTTTCACCTACCTTCTCCCTCTCATCCGTTTTACTTGCATCCACTTTTTCCACTAATCTCTTATCTATTAATAAAATTACAAAGCATCTTGATTGTTCTGTCATCTTCTCACCTACTAATTGTGTATTTCAGGACAATCGAACGAAGATGACGATTGGCACTGGTAGAGAGAGAGGAGCGTTGTATTTTTTGGAGGGAACTAGGCGGTTGCAAATTGAGGATACCCATGGTCTCCAAGTCGTTAGTAAATCATCTCCAAGAG